AGAAAGCAAGAAAGCTTAAAGAAAGACCCTTCATAGCCAAGGAATTAATTAAGGCTAAGAGGTAACCCATGTCTCAACAAAACCTATTTTCATAGCTATGATTTCCCCCTTAGGGTTTCCCCATATTATTGTGTATTAATGACTTGTGATAATTATTGTTGATGATTGATGTGATGATCCCATGGGGGATCTTGATAATCTTGATATTGAGAGATTCTTGATAATTATGATATTCTTGATGATTATATGGAGTTCCTGATGATTATGTGTTGTTCTTGATAATTGGGTGATGATCTTGATGATTATGTGTTATTCTTACCGAATCTTGCAATTGGAAGACGAATCGTATTCTTGCTGATATAAAAGTGATTAGAACCCTAGGTTGTACCGCATGCTTCGATTCTTGGATTATCGGGTGGGAAATCGCATGTTTGGGTGTTGATTATGATTAGAAAAGCATGTTAGGTTATGTGTCGTTCGTCTATCGTATTTGATCCGTTAATTGTCTATGCGTTGTCGTTAATTACGTTGAAAAGTGTCTAAGCATGGTTTCGGGTTCCACAACGATTCCCGGGGCGAAAAGTGATGAAAAGAGTCAGTGGGGGGTAGGTGGGGGTAGGGGACCCGCCACCTACCCGCGGCAATCTCGGGTAGCTCCGGCAGCGGGCAGCCGGCGGGAGGGCAGCTGCCCGCCGGGCACCCGCTGCCCGGAACAGTGACAGCCGGCGGGCAGCCGACGGGTGGACCCCCACCCACTGGCTACCCGCTGGAATCTCACCCCACCCGGGACCTCGGCTTCCCCGTTTGATGTTTCCCCGATCCCCGTGGTGTCCCAACGGACCCCGTTTGTCGTGCCTATGTCTAGTTTGATGTTTCGGGTACCGTTCGTAGGTTTATGAGTCTGTTATATCGCATGCTAGATGAATTGGTATCCTATTGACCTAGGTGAAGGAAGTATGAACCCCTTAGGACTATTCTTAGTATGTGATGGATCACGCATAGGTTTGTTATACGCTTTACCCCCTTCCCAATGTGTAACGTGGGTTGTATGTGCTTGCTATGTGTTATGTGTGTGTGCTACCCCAATTCGGTTGCGATCGGATTGGTTATCCTGAGCTGCGGTTCAGAAGCTGGCTGCGGTCAGATTGATACTCTTGGGCTGCGGTCCACCGTTTGGTTGCGATCAAACGTTTCTATACGAGCTGCGGTTCGTCCTTTTTCCTGGCTGCGGTCAGATGACATTCTCTTGGGCTGCGGTCCAGTGTTTGGTTGCGATCAAACGTTTCTATACGAGCTGCGGTTCGTCCTTTTTCCTGGCTGCGGTCAGATGACATCCTCTTGGGCTGCGGTCCACTGTTTGGTTGCGATCAAACACTATGATGAGCTGCGGTTCATCGGTCGGTTGCGATCGACCCCTCCGTGTTGCGATACGGGGCAGGGTGCTGCGGGGCCGTGTCAGAGCTATATGCGCTGACCCTCATGTATGGGCATGCGATTGGTCCTGTGGCGCCAACAAAGTGTGTTATGTGTTGTGATATGGATGAGTTGTGATTATGAGTGTCTTGGGGGATGTGACTATGGGACTTATATTGGGGATTGTTCATGTTGGGTTATGATTATTGTTTATGCCTTGCCTTATCTGCCTTATCTATTGTGAACTGCATATGCTCGTTATAACTGTTGCTTGTGTCTGGCCTTATCTGTCGAGTCATTCCCGGTTTTAAAGCTAGAGTTCGTAGGATATATCTTCATGCTCAAAATGGTTTTCGTATATCTATATATATCTCTATATGTATTTCAACACGTTGGAGTGGGTTACCAGCATCTCTCGCTGAACAGATATATTTGGCTTTCAGGCACAGAAGATTAAGTCACTGGAGTGCGCTAGAACTTAGAAGTAGATAGTTTCCCTTTTGGCCTGCGTGCCACGTTTACGTATTTACGCTTTGAGGATATTAGTTAGTTAGCCTGTGCACTTGGGTTCTCTAGCCCAGGTGTGGCATAGCACCCCGAACGCTTGTATTTATATCTTGGGATTTAATAAGATTCTACCTTTATTATAAGTTTTAAATGTCTTGAAAATCTGGGGTGTTACAATCGTTGTTTTTAACTATCTTTTATCTGGCATCCCTGTACCCCTCGTAAGAAAAATCAATAAATATTTTCTGGTACACATCTGTGCGTATTGGAGTTACGCTACTGTTCTTGAAATCATGAACCTCTTGAATACAATCAGTCAAAGTTTTTCTTGAAATTGATTACTTATTGAAGAAATATATGGGCATTAATTGCCACATTGAATGTTATGTGTAACAGTCATATAAATATCTTCACATCACGGCTATAAAAAGGGCATGAACTTCTCACCATTTCACCATCACCTTCCTCATCATGTATCCCAAAAAGCCTTTTACCAGAGGCGATTCTCAAAAGTTGAGAGACATTGCCAGGCAAATCCGAGAAGAACAGGGTGATCTTTATCCCGGTAATAGCCTACAAGCCCCGCTTGAAGTCTTTTCTGATACTGACTCTTCTCAACAATATGATGAAATAGCTGCATACATAGTTGAGGAACCAGAGGAAGGTCCTCAAGAAGAAGAAAATCCTCCAAAAGAAGTAGTCCCTCCAAATAAGACAACCCCTGCTGATCGTAGCAAGTACTATGATCAAGACTACATGGATTTTCTGAAAGAAGAAGAATTCAAGTGTGAACCAAAGGCTGATGAAGACGAATCGGAGTCGTCCTCGGGCTCCAACTTTCTGCGTACCGGAAAATGGTACAAACGCATGTGGGCTGATCTGAAAAAGCCAAAGGCTGAGCCTAATGAGGACAAGGCAAACGAGAGAAAGAAAAACTAATCCCTCGGAGTATGTATCTTATTGTCTGTATCTGTCTCTCTCGTTTTAATGAATAATAAAGTCATGGTGTTAAAAAAATTGAATCTGTTAAAGTGATGAATGAAACTTTACTTGTTTTGTTCACACCTATCACAGTATATCTCGGACTAAGCATATTTTTCTTGGAAATGAATATATTCCCTCAAGCGTGTTCTCCGTATCTATGACTAGTCATTCGGGTCACATTTTTTGATGCATCTAACACTCTACATAAAGGACCATCTCGGGAATTATGGATTCACTCTTCTCATAGCGTCATGGATAAAGGGAAAGAAATAGCTCTAACAACTGGAAGTTTGTCTGGGTTCAAAAATGACTCTCATCATAAACCCGATAGCTCTCTAGTGAAGGGATCATCATCTGATGTATCCACCAAAGCACCAAGTGTTTCTGAATTCTACTCTCTTGTGCAACTTGCGCCACAACTGAAAAATGAAGAAAAATACCGGACTCTTTATGCCGGTGATAAAGCTAAAGTTATGGCTGAACTGGATGACATGGAGAGGCGAGGTCTCTGAAGGGATGCAATGGGAACGGATCATGAAACAATCATAGCCGAAGTGTTCGCTCATGAGGTGCAAAAGAAGGAATACTTTGAAAACGCTCGAAAGAAGAAGGCTGCCATGGAGTAAAGTCTCATGGCTCGTGAATCACGAGAGATGTAGTAACAGTTGTCACTGTCCTTGTTTCGTGTAATAAAGCATCTCTCAGGCTATGCACTTTCGTTGTATGTTTTGTATAAGATTTGTTTGACTTTATTTGTCTTACAAATCTTTTGTTATGTGAAATTTATCTCCCTTCGGTTTTCAGTCGTATTCAAGACGCTTCCTATTGAATCTCTCATCTGAACCGTTTACACGTTTCATCATGGGGATCGTGTGGCCAAGAAAAATGGTCCACTACCCCACGACGTCTGACAGATGAATTGATGGGCATTTAATGCTTGTACAGGCACTTGAGTGGAATTCTCTCTCCACATTAAAGACCGAATGATCAAAACTAAACTGAGCATGATCTTATCACTTTCCTATAAGCTGATCAGTTACCTTTTGAAGAAGTAGAACCGGTTGAATATTTGAAATTCAAACCATCCACCCTAAAAATGGGTTAACCCGTATTTGAATACCCAGAAACAAGTGAAACCCTACATAAACCCTTTCACCTCTTTCATTCATCCTCCGTCTCAAAACCATACTGCAGTACTTGTATTCTCTCAACACTTCAAAATGGCTACGACATCTCAAGTTACCCCCTCCGATACAGAACAAGAAACCCCAACCATCTTAGAAATTCCTTCTTTCCCTACGGAAGATATAAAATTTATGGAATCTAGGGCTACACTTATCGTCGGAGGAAGCATGTGGGATGCTCATGGGTTCCTCGAATATGTTCTTGATCGCAAGTTTGGAGAAAACATCATTAATCTGCTTACAGAAACTGGGCTATACAGGTTTATCACTCATCTCTATACTTTATGGTACCCTACTGATGTTGCACAATTTTATATGAATGCAACTGTCTCCTCCGATTCTCTAACCATCACGTCTAGAGTTCACAATCATCAAGTGATTATAACATCAGAGGACATACGAGCAGCATATGGCTTTCCTAAGAGAGATGAGACATACAAGGCCAACCTCTCTTTCTACCACTATGACCCCAGTGAGTTTTATGATACCATCAAGAACAACCATGCACCCTCGAAAACGGAGATTACATGGCCTTTGAAGAAGAAGTGGTTTCGTCTGAACTATGAATTCACTGTGGACATCTTCAATAAGATCGTAGATCATAAAACGTCTGGAATAGATGATGTCACAAAGGAGAAGCTCAAAATGTTGCATGTATTCCTTCACAAACACGAAGTCGACTGGTCGAAAGTTATCTTCAACAACCTTGTTCATACCATCATCTTCAACAGAAAAAGCCCTGGTGACATCACAAAGAAACTGGGCTATGGATTCTTGGTTAGTCATCTACTTGTCACAAAGGATGTCCTTATGAGACCAGGAATTCGGCCAGGACCAAAAGCCTGCCACATGAAGCAGAAGCCTTCCAGTTATGACAAACAGAAAGCCTTGGAGCTGGGAATTCCTTTGTAAATGGTAAAATCCAAACGAAAATCAAGGACACCGAAAGAATCAGAAGATGACCAACCAGAGCCGAAAAGACAAAAGAAGGAAAAGCGCTCTTCTCGGATTAAGTCGAAAGAGGAAGCTGTCAGTACACCCACTCCCACACCTCCAAAATCTCCCACAGAAAAGAAAACTCCTACCTCACCTATTCCTCCTCCAGACACAATTGTTGTCGAAGACTCATCTGATGAAGACAATTTAGCTCTGTCGAACCTTGGAAAAACGGGACGTTTTCGTTCTCCTATCAAAATGAAATTTGGCTCAAATCTTTCCCCGAAGGAAGACGACACACCGAGAGAAACATTCTCTCAGGGGGAAAAAGATACGAGAGAAGCACCCTTTCAGGGGGAAGGTCAGCCAAAAGAAACCTCTCCAGAAAAACCCTCTAATCAAAAAGTGCCAAACCTTGGCCACAGTTCTCCTCAAGTCCTTCATCCACAAGAACCCATTTCAGCAGAGAGAAATATTCAAAGTTCGACACAAGAACCTGCTGCTATGGACACGGAGGCCGGTCACTTAAGTCTTCCACAAGAACCTGGCTTGCCAGCAAAGACGAAAGAAGTGGTTGTTGGATTGACTGAAGTTCCGTCTCTTCCACAAGAACCTACCAATGCAGAGCAGGTAACAAAAAATCTGACACAAGAACCTGCGTTGGCAGATGAGACAGCCGTTGTACCAGTTGACACTCCTGCAATTCCAAAGACATCGACACCTGTTCCCGAAGCCACAACAAGACCACCAGTTGTTGCACCCATTCCTCCATCTCCAGATCAACTGCTTCGTGAGTCCATTGAAAATGACTACACCCGAGTGTTGCAGTGGCAAAAATGGCGCACAGCCCCCTTGGACACATTCATCGAAACTTTTGAAGCCATGAAAGATGAAGAACAGTTTGCTCTAGAGTGGATTGGCACGAAGGATCTCAATGAAGCACTGCGTCTTGAAAAAATAAGACGAGTATTCTCTTACAAAATGACGAACCGCACTCTCGGAAAGGATAAAGCTCCGATTTGCATTGAGCTCAACAAACCTCCATTGGACCCAGCGTTTGAAGAAGAAATGAAGGTGGTTCGATATGCCATATTGATATCTAAAGTCAAAACCATCCTGGAGAAAGAACATCAAAATGATCCTAACTGCAATGTCAGTGGCTTGAAAGATGAGCAAGGCCGAGAGATTGACACGACCGAAGAAGAAGATGAAAAGAGTGATGAAGAAGATGAAGACGAAACTAACGATGTCGAGAATGCAGATGATGAGAACGATGATGATGATGATGACAATGATGATTCAGGTAATGACGGAGATAATGGGGCTGACCCAACTTATGACAGTGAATCTCCCCTCTTGGTCGGTCCTGATTATTACACTGTTCCCGAAAGATCTCCAGCTCGAAAATCACCCAAAAGTGATGAAACAAGGGAAGCATCACAACAAGATGAAGACGTTTCAACTGATCATCCTGAAGATCTGTCTCGAGCTCTCGTCCCACATGTTCAACCCATGGACGAGACTCCGATAAAACGAGAGGAAGCAGTTGTACGTAGGGCAAACTGGAAGCCTCACCAATCCTTCTTAGCTCAGCTAGTGGTGGCAAAAAGGATGCACCACTTCAAGAAGATCAAATGGAAACCCCACAAACCAATATTGAAGATGAATCTCCTCCGGTGTCCCCACGAAAAGTCATGAATCTCATGAGGGATACAGTTCATACTGCCGAACTTACACATCAGCAATACTTGACTCTTCAGCAAAAGGGACACCAAAGTTCTGGAAAACTTATCCAAAAAGGTGGATCAGTTGATGGCTGCCCAAGCTCAGTCTCGTCCGCAACCACAAGAGCCATCTCAACCTCCACCGCAAGCTACACCTGACCAACAATTCTACAATCAATTGGCTAAGGAACTCCATGAACTTCATACTTCTGTCAACAAAGTGGCTCGTCAACAACACGAACTTAAGCACTCTCACTTCAGCCTCAAAGAGCGTGTTGACTTAGCTTGCTCAAAGATAAAGACTTCACAAGACAATACATACCAACTGGGACAGTATGCTCTTCAAATTCTCGGGTATGCTCAAGACATTCTGAATGCAGTTAATAAACTCTCCACCGTTCCTCCTACCACATGTGCCAATGATGCCAAAAAGGGGGAAAAGCGGAATCATGATGATAAGGATGACGAGCATCCGAGGGAGAACACGAGAGAATGTTCTCCATCTCATCCACTAAGAGACTCTGGGCAAAGAAGTACAAAACCATCAAATCCTCCATCCAAGTCTCGTGGTCACCATCCTTCCCAGTCAAGACATTATTCAAATCGTGGCCATTCTCAACCCAGATCACAGTCTTTCAAGTCTCGTCAATCTTATGGTTCTGAATCACAATTTGTATTCAATTCGCTGGGCTCTCCAAGAGAGAAAAGACAAATCGAAGGCAGAAACTCATGAAGGACACAAAGGTTACTATGGATGGCGTAAGAAACTTTGTGGAGTACAGACCTTATGAAGAAGGCAGTGGAAAACGTTTTGAGGGTTGCAATGTTCCTATCTGGCTGAAGACAAAGGACAATCATACTAGACAACATCACATAAGCACCCAAAATGAAAGAATCAAGAGACAAAACAGAGAACTATGGGAGAAACACGAAGAAGAAGCCCGAAAGAGAGAGCATGAATTGGTGGAAAGAGAGAGAGTAAAGAAGCTTATTGAAGATCTCACGAAAGTAACCAAACACTCTGAGCATGGTGTCATCTACAATGCAGCTTTCAAAGTGCATGCCGAGTCTGGAAAGAGCTACAAAGAAGGAATGAATTCCTTCGAACTCATCTCATGGTGGAAGGCCGAAGTAATTGCAGGGGAAAACACTCGAGGAAAACACGAAGATCTAGTCAAGACAAATCCAATCAAGATCTTCAGAGAACGAATCAACAAGGAGATCGACACCGATAGAATGCACAAACAGCAAGAGGAAAGGGACATTCGTGAACGAAAAGAAGCTAAGCTACAGAAGTCGAATCTTCTAGATCTGTAAGATGCTCTTCTTTATGTCTTTCTTAAAAAGTTTTTGTAATCATCTTTATCCTTATATAAAGTACTCGTTGTTACACATCTCGTGTCACTTGTCTGAGTTACTTGTCTATGTCTTACTTATTATTTGCTTTTATCTAGAAAAGACATGTAAACTCTCGAGTATGGCTGACTTGTAATAGAAAATCCGTTATGGAACCTTTTATCAGCCTTATAAGAAGAGTATAGGTTTTGACATCATCAAAAAGGGGGAAATTGTTAGGAACACTTGTATTAGGATTTTGATGATACCAATGTAACCTAGAAAGTAGACCCCTAACCGTTATTAATTTCAATCGCTGCTTTCGTCCTAGACGAAAGTTGCCATAACTCACATGTAATTCGTGTTAAGCTAGTCAAACACACGAAGACGAGTTATGCTTAGTTGTTAGGGTTATCAAGACGAAAGAAGACACGAAGCATGAAGCAATTGCAACGAGAGTTAACCAGGAGTTGTCACTGAGCACGAAAGGACAGTCTTATTGATGACAATCCTTCAAGACATTTCCTCTCACTAACAGCAAGAAGAATGTCTCCACTGTCTGACTTGACAACATCCTAGGAACAGAAGGACCTCAACTTGTGGGACACGCATACCAAGAAGCATTAAATGAAGATGTACTATTTCCTGAAGCTAAAGGACAAAATCCTAAGGCTCTCCATGCCATCAACGGCTACAAGGTACAACCTCATTAATGGAGCATTTAATGCGGGAAGCTCCCCGATCCTTACCCACTGGACAATAGGTTTAAAAAAATTCATCTCCCTCCAACGGATGAATTTTTCCTCACCTATATAAACCCACCTTCACCAACTAAGAAGGTGCTGGTTCTTATCACTCGATCTATCTATACGCAAAAGCTCTTAAACGCTCTCAGCTCTCTCAAGCTTTTGTGAACCAGTGTTAAGGTGCAAAGATACTTGAAGAAGTTCATTGATACTCATCTTACACCTTAAAGAAGTCTTGCAACTTGTACGAAGCAATCATTCCTCATCAGTCAAGGCTTCATCACGTTGGAGAAATCAGAAATTATTTTCTACCAACCTCAACTCTGAAGAAGACGTTGATAGAGGCGGAGTAAACTCGAGGAGTTGAAAAACCTACGAAGGCTGTCCGGCTTAGTGATCAAGGAAGTCTTTGTGTAATTGTACTAACGAGTGATAGTGCAATCCTTTCATAAGTTGTGGAAGAAGAGTGGAGTAGGCAAAGTTGGCCGAACCACTATAAAACTCTCGTCTCCCTATCTCTTGACTTACGCTATTCATTTCTGCATCATATTATCTTTCACGTCATTACCGAAAGTTTTCTTTATAACGAAAACCCGTGCAAAGCAAGTAATCGAATTTAACATCTCCGCTGCGCCAAAACACCGAAAGGTTGTTTTTCGGCAAAACACAAAAAGAGTCTATTCACCCCCCCCCCCCCCCCCTCTAGACTCTCGCTACAACTCTACCGGGACAAACAAGATTAAAACGTAATCAACTTAAATAATAGTTATAATTCTTAATGGCCAAAACAATAATTATAATTCTTAATGACTTCAAATGGTAATTGTAATCCTTTAAACCCTTAATGACTCAAAATCATGCAATGATAATAATTATAGCACAAAATTGCTTAAGTCAGGCCCATGAACCTTAATGACCCAAGTTAATTATAACATGAATAATAAATGGTCTAGTGTTGAAATAGATCCAAACTTGATGTTATTACCAACGATAAATACCGTTCACAAAATACGGTACTTAAGTAATAATTAAAACTTAATAAACATGTTATAATCAAATAAAATGCTACAATTACTATTAAAATATCAATCAAATAATAGCACGATGCCAGGGTCCATACTGACCAAGATAGGTCCTAAATAGCTTATTCTAATTTGGTTTTAAAGTCCCAGGTGAAAAATAAGACTAAAGTACGCTCAAAATTAAATGAGAAACCAAACAAGCCGTCTTAATAGGCTATAATGTCCAAAATTAGCCTAAGGATCCAAAATTGAATGATATTTAATATAAAATCTATGAGTTAATAATATGCTATATCCAACCTTAATATATGCTTTTCTAAATGTACAATTATAATAAAATAATTTATGAATATACAAAGCATGTTTGGATTTTTGCATATTAATATATTATTAACTCATGAATCCTTAATAAATTGCAATAATTCAAGCAATTTAACATGCACCTTAATATTAAATTAAAATTCAAACAGCAAATTAAAACTTAATATTTGCTCAAAATCGAATAATAATTTAATTGTAACAAGAATTACTGTAATGGTACTAATAATGGCAATAATTCAATCACAAATAATGCCACAATTAATCTGATCTCAATTTAAAATTTTTAATGCCAAATTTAAATAGAAACTAAAGGGCATTAAAATTTCAAATTAAGCAATTACTATATATTTATCATTTGCCAAAACAATTTACAATATTAATTAAGGTAATATTAATATGGTAATATTAAACCAAATAATCACCATTTACCAAAATTAATATATAATTAATATATAATTCTAAAATAAGGCAAATAAATAAATATGTCAAATAAAAGTAATTGTATTGGAATATAAAGCTAGCAGCGTACCATCCGGTCTTCCTCTCCAACGAATCGCCGGAAAAGCAGCGAATCGGAGATGAAGCAGCGGCAATCATCCAGCCGTCCGAACTTGAGGAGCAGCGGCAGGAGTAGCCTGAATGAGGAGAAACAGTTACGGCCGAAGCCACCGCCGCCTGATGGAGAGGAAGACAGCAGCGGCGAACCGGAAATCCAGCCCACCTCCGCCGTCATTCCTTGTTGCAGCGGCAATGTCCGCCATCGTCCTCCCCGCGATGCCACCGCCGCCTGCAGTTCCAGGTCGCTCCGCAGTGTCTCTTCATCGCTGCACCAAAGCCACACTGTGCACCATCGTTCCTCGCAACCGGAGTCCATAGCACCGCAACCTCCGAAACCAGTGGGAAAGCCTGGATTTTTCCCGGCCAAAACAAATCGGCGGCGGAAATAACACACCAGCGACCTTTCCTTAATGCCGGCTTGCAACGGATCGAGTAGCCAACTCGTAGCCAGCGCGGTGCTCCACCGGAAAACAAAAAAAAAAATTCCGGCAATGGTCAATGAACGCAGGCAGTGGGTAATTTCCAGATTCAACAATTTTGAAAATAATAATAATGATAAATATAAATTATGCTGAAGGCTGGAAATTCAATTTTAGATTAATTCACTTAAAACATATACGCAAAATTACACAATTATATCATGATTGAATAGATATATTTTTACGTATATATTTTAAAGAATTAAACCATATACAATAACTCAATGTATATGAAAAATTTATCTTAATATTGTTTGGGCAAAACAATCAAACCAGGCAGAGATTATATAGGGCTCTGATACCAAATGTTAGATAATAATATTAAGGCTAACATAAATTGTAGTAAACGAGTAACCTGCCTCGTTACAGCGGAAGCTTTAGGATCGCCCGAATATCCCCAGCCATAATCGTTGGTCTTGCCACGAGATGGTAAACCTGCATAATAAAGGTTAGTGTTTTGTCTACCACTTCTCTCCCGAATACGTGATGGTGCGTGTACTGAACACGGGAGCT